TTATTTTATATTTTATACCATCCCTTTAGATAAGTGCTATAAAATTAGGAAATTGTTTTCTTTATCTAATCTTATTTATGGTTTGGCTCTATAGTGAAAGTGTAAAAAATGAATATCACATATGAATAAAATGAAGAAAAGGAGTAATGTACAAATCACCTAAGTAACATATATGAGAAAGAGGACAATCTCTCGGAAGATTTACAATCTTGGAAACACACAGGAGGGTCAGCTATGAGTCGGTTCTATGGTGAGGAATTTTTCATTTTCAAAGCAAAGCAAAGTGGAGAAATAGGTATTTGATTTATAGTTACTTTCAATTAAAAGATAGGGAGGAAAGTGGCCACAAATAGAAATATATTGCTTAAAAAACAATTATGCTATATGGCCTGATCTAGCTGTTTAGAATATGCATTGAGGAGGAAGTAGATTCTCGAATGGCAGCAAAAATAAGACTATTGTGAGGATATGCCAGAAAAGGGCAAGGTTCATTTCTGTTCATGATGTTGTTATGAGTTGTAGTCAACTGTTTGTATTATTTGTTCTGCTAAGATTAGTAGCAGGCCAATTAAGAGAAATCTTGATTCAATGTGGTCGCAAATGCTTAACCTGCTGTATAAGTCCATGATTTCTAACATTAACAGTTTCATCTGTGGCTTAGTTCATTAGCTCCTCTATGTCCCTAGGGTATAAAATCCTCTAGAGACTAAAATCCATCAGGGCAATGACTTATGTGATCATAGATATGCAGGCCAGTTTGGCAGAAACTGGGGGGAAAGGGGCCAGGATTGATGAAGCTGCATGTTTAGTCCACAGAACACTTTCTCAGGCTAGACAACTTCCAGCAAATTTGAGCTAAGTCAACAGGTTGTGCTGCTGTTCCTGTGTTGGTATTTTCAAACACCCTCACAGTGTGAACTAACCTGTAAGATTCATCCAAAGGGTAAGAGAGGATCTCTGTTTCTGATATGCAATTCCATTTTAATGCAAAATGGATGAAAAGAAATTAATTGTGTGACATTATATAGTTAATATATTTGGACAAAAAGAGGTGGGTTTAATTTAACTTGAAAAAGAACATATTCTAAAGAGTTAAGTTTTAAAACTTGTAGAAGATCCTCTTAAAGTTTTACTCCCAAAGAGGGATTGTAATTTAAATATTGAAAAAAATTATAGTAGAGATCTTTCTTTAATACAATACTATTAAGAGCTAGTAATTTCACAAAGCATTAAAGACTTTACTTGCCCAGGCTGAGAAATGGTGGTTCTTCAATTGTCTGCTGGACAGGTTCAGCAAGGAAAAAGCTAAGTACATAGTCACTCTGGAAAACAAAAAAAGATTTTACAACATTTTATGTTTGCTATTATATTCATTATTCTATGAAAACATTGCATATGTAGAGAGAGTAATATCTTTATTGATAAATAAATTATATTAGAAAGTTTATTAAGTTAATGTTATAATTTTTATTCTGATTATGTTTCTTCATGAGGTTGAGGTGTGTCGTGCTTTTCGAGTTTACCATCAATAATTCTGTTCTTGCATTTTGTGGTTATGCATGAATCATACATTTCTTTTGTCTAGGTAAGGTGTGCCCCTGGACAAGGTTTTCTAAGAAAAACTGCTCTTAATAATAGCACATAAATTATTGCTTTGTAACTACCACTTTTCAGTGTTAAAGTCTGTAGATGTTCATCTAGTATTGTTCATCTATAACTACCACACTGAGAAATGTTAGGGGGTATTTTGAGAGAAAAATGCATAGGGCGAGCTCCCTTTTTAGGGCACAATTCAATGAAGAAGACTTTCAGTAAATGTTTTAACAGTTTTATCTGTTGTTTTGTTATATGTCACCCATTTATTCATCTTGTTGAAAACTGAACATTGAATAACAGATCAAAACATTGCCTGATTCAGCACCATATTTACTATTTAGCTGTGCTTAAAGCCATTGTTGCAGTAACTCTTCTACTTATCTACAACTTTAGTAGAAAAGTGAGGGCTCTTTTTTGGGGGATAAAACTGTCTAAATTGATATTTAACCTGCATTCCAAATGAATGGGCTGAATGATGAATCTGGAAGAGTTTTATCTTAGTGATGTTGGCACTCATTTTATTTCAAGCCATTAAATAATCAAAGCAGGCCTCCCCATAAGACTCTGAACAATACTACTGAATAATTGATTGTTTTCTCTTGTTATTGCAGAGTTGATGCATAGTAGCTGTCAACAGTGTCTGACAGTCCCCTCAACTAGCCTTCTCTCATTCTATCTAATGGCTCTGTCAAAACTCCTGTAGGAACCTTGAACTTACTCTTGTGAGTACTTTTCTGCAAGAAATTTAACCTTTTCTATCATAGACCATACATATTATTTTCATGACATATATTCTATAGATTCATAAACATCTTTCTCTTTCCTTCCTATTACAGAGGAAGAAGTACATTTTCATCCAATCCTGATCTATTTATCTGTGTCCTAGATTCTTTTATTTTCCATTCTAGAAGCCTTGCACAATTTCCATTTATTATATAATCATCTTCATTCTTTTTCTTTGTATTTCTCTTTCTCACAAAGAAGAAAATATAACCACAGTGAGGTCAGCTGTTGGCAGCCCAAGTTCACCAGGTGCTCCAATTGTTCCATGTTGTCCCTGCCTCTTCCCCCAAAATACAGACTTTATGGTGGAATCTGCCCTGCTGCCTGACCACCCTTTCCAAAAGGGGCAGATCCATTACAACGTCTCAGGAAACGGGAACAAGGCCTATGCTTTATAAGCAGAACTTCAAAACTGCACAGTAAGAATTAGGCAACTAAGGCACCAAGAAACAGACCCGTGCAAAGTTCCATGGTGGACCAGGACCTGGCTGAGGCGGCCTGTAGCCTCCATGAACCTAGGCTGGCTCTTTGGCTCCATGAGGTCATGGTGGGCCAGTCCAGGACGCGAGGAACAAGAAGAATAGTATGTTTTCCTGGTCAAGCTGGTGCTAGTGGGGAATGCAAGTGTGGGCAAGATGTGTGTCGTGCAACACTTCAAGACGTATTCCTTCTCAGAGCACCAGGGCAGGACATTCTGCATCCACTTTGCCATAAAGACGCTGGAGAGCTAGGCCAAGTGAGTCAAGCTGAAGTTTGGGGACATAGCCGGCCTGTAGAGGTTTCACACCACTACCCAGAGTAACAAATGCAGTGTCAATAGAGCCATTCTTTCATATGGTATGATCAAGAGAAGCTCCTTTCTGTCCATGCCTCACTGGATCAAGGATGTGAGGAAGTATGAAGGCTCCAGCATCATACATCTGCTCATTGGTGCTAGGGTGTTGGGAACAGAGACATCTCAGTGTTCCTTAAGCAGTGTGTTCCTGTTCCTTCTACCCTCCTGTCCCTGATAATCATGAAAACACTTTATTTACAAATAAAATGAAATCTGAAAAACCAAATAACCAATCTTTATTTGGAAAACTAGTTGCATTGAGTTGATTCTGATTGATAACTGCCAAACCATTGAGAATCATGGCCTAACCAAACCGAAACATGTGTTTTTTAGAGGACAAAATTTAATTAAAGACATTTTCCTACTTTCATCTCTTCCTATTGTCCTTCTAATAATTTATACTTAGCAGCTGAGGCCAGGCACTACAGAGGACCTCCACAATAGCTTCTGACACGCCTCTAGGTAACAAGCCCCAAGGCGGAGCCTAAACCATTTGGACCCTCGGGCAAGAAGAAAAACACAATCTATACAGGAGTTCTACAGGACACATCACCTTCCCTTCGGAGACAGTACAAGTAAACTTAAGAGACACTGGACACAGAAAAAAAATATCTCTGACAAGCTGTCA